GTTTTTTACCTGCCGGACATGAAAACCGAAAAAAAACCGGGAAATTTACCACGTAGGAAAGGCTGTCAGGTGCCGTGGCCTAGGTTTCTCACTGAAAATCCTCGTCCCCCGGCGGCACCTTTTTTTGAATTTTTTTCCTTTTCAACGCCGTTTTTCGGGAATTGCGGATTTTTTTTGAATTTTTTCGCAATAATATTCGGAAAATAGATAACTTTTAACACATTTTCATGCAATAAAAATTTTTGGTCGGAGTCCCCCTTTAAACATTTCAGAAAAATCAAAATTTTTGAAACCAGGTCATGTTTATACTCATTTGAACCGCCTAATTTTGCTAATTTGAAATATATCCTCTATCAAGTTTGAGCCACTATGAGCCGATATAGCCAAACGCGTGAAAGAGGTGAGAGAGCGCAGAGAAGCTAGACGGCGCGCGGCGCCCCTAAGTAAACAATACTGTAACTTTGTCATTTTTTGAGATAGATTCTAGAAAGCTAGTTTTTTGAAATCAGCAAGTCAAGACGGTTTGAATGAGTATAAATTTGACCTACTTTCAAATAAAAAACACTTTCGAAAATAAAAAACAAAATTATCGAAATTCAAAAAAAAAATCCAAAAAAATGTTTTTTAAAATATATCAAACTTACATTTATTAGAACCCTCCCTTTTGCTGATTCCAAAAATATAGCAATTATCCAATTTGAGCCACTATGAGCCGAGATATAGCCGAAAACGCAAGATTGAGAGAGAGTGCAGAGAAGCCAGACGGCACGCGGCGCCCCTTTATTAATTGTATTGTAACTCGGTCAGTTTTTGAGATAAATACTCGAAAATTTGATTTTTGAACTTAGCAAGTCAAGACGGTTTGAATGAGTCTAAATTTGAACAAAATTTTTTTTCGATTTCCCGAAAATTGGACAAAAATCAAAAATATAGAATTTTCCGAATTTTTACATGTTGACTTTAAAGGAGGCCAGACTTGAAAATTTTCAAAATTCTAGTTTTGGGATATTTGACACAGTACAGTCAGAAAATAACAACGGACACCAAATCATAACTCCCTGTTATTGTACAAGCGAGAACGCGAACGTTTCTTCCAAGCGGCGCCTACTCCTCGTTTCATAATCGTTTTAGTGCCAGTAGACGACAAGCCCCCTGTGGTGTAAAGGTGAGCGCGCTTGTCTGTCAGTCGCGCATCGCGGGTTCGACTCCCATATGTCCGTTTTCGTTTTTTTTTCTGCTTTCATGCGGCGACATCATAGAATGACCGAATAACTTTTAAAAAAGTCGGGAATTACTGCCTAACAGTGAAGAATTTTAGTGTATACAAAAAAAAATAAATGCTCGACAAGTAGCGCGCATTGGGACGCAATCGCACGATTTTCCGTCAGAATACATGATCTCGCCCCGAGAAAACCCCGTAGACTTTCGTGTCTGGCCTCCTTTAAAGAAAAGTAGCTTTCGAAATTTCAATTTTTAGCCACTCAAACTGGGTTTTCTGTTTTTCTGATCCTCTTCCACATCTTAAGTAATTTCAGGGTCGCTACACGGTCACCGAAGATCTCCAAGTGGTTCCCGGAGCGAAGCTAACCATAGCCTCCGGCTCCACACTGGAGTTTCAGCATGGAATTGGGATGATAGTTCAAGGAGATTTGATTCGAAACGAATATGATCAAGATGAGAAAGTGATATTCACTTCTACCCCATTTACTCTACAAAAACGCCAAAATATCCGTCTGGTGGATTCAGATGGGAATGATGAGGTGACAGAAGGAAGGCTTGAGGTTCTGGTGGATGAGCAATGGGGTACTGTATGTAATCGAAGTTGGACACCCCAGTTGACCATTCTGGCTTGTAATCAATTGGGATTAGTCGCTGATGTGCAGTATTTTGAGAATTGGAGGATTTTCCCAGAGGCTGGAGATCTTCCAATGGTTATGGATAATATAAGATGCGAGGAGAATGAAGTGGATATTACAAGATGCAGACATGATGGAATTGAGAGAAATTGTGCAGCTGGGTGCAGGGGTACTGAGGTTGTTGGTGAGTTTCTAGGAATATTTTTTCTTTGGAATGTTGATTCAAATCCTCCCGGTTTTCTGATTCCGAAAACATTGATTTTGTCAGGTTTGAACAAAAATGAAACAAGTTACATGCCTAAATGTGATTTCGATTTTTTTGAAATTTCAAAAACATTCAATTTTTTGAAAAATCTGTCATGTTTATACTCATTCAAATTGTCTTGACCTGCTGATTCCAAAAACATTATTTTCAACCTTCTATCTCAAAAACTAACAGAGCTGCAGTACAATTTACAAAGGGGCGCCGCGCGCTGTCTAGCTTCTCTGCATTCTCTCACTCATTTTACGTTTTTGGCTATATCTTGGCTCAAAGTAGTTCAATTTTAATGAAAACTATATTTTTGGAATTAGCAATACAAGACGGTTTTAACGAATATAAACAGAACATAGTTTTGTAAAAAAAATTGAAACTTTTTGGAATTTTGAAAAACTTTCAAAAATGATCGCAGACTTGACAATTTTATACTCATTTGATCCTCCTAATTTGCTGATTTCAAATAAATAATCAAAAATCTTCTATCTCAAAAACTGACCAAGTTACAGTATCATTTGAAAGAGGGCGACGCGCGCCCTCTAGCTTCTCTGCGCTCTCTCACCCGCCTTACGTATTTGGCTATATCTCGGCTCAGAGTTGCTCAAATTGATAAAAATTATAATTTTGAAATCAGCAAAGCAAGACGGTCAATATGAGTATAACTATGACATGTTAAAAAAAGAACTCATTTTTACCGCTTGTTTCAGGTCTCCGCTGTCTGGAACCCCGTTGGGCAGGTGTTCGTTACTCCTTGCTAGCCAACCCACCTACAGTAACCGGTCAGACTACAATGGATAATTGGAGAATCGAAAAAGGCGGACTTTTCAATTTCCGGACTTCTGAGTTTTGTGCAGCTTTTAAAATCGATTGGAACTATCACACATTCCATCGGCTAGAGATCAAGGTACCTTCAAAAAAATGAAGTACAGTAATCCCATTTTCAATTTTTAGAACAATTTCTGGGATGGTGTAGATGTTGTATACAATGATTTGGTCAAAAAGCCAGCTATTCGGAATAGTGTTATTTATAATAATCGAAACAACGGATTCCATATTAGATCGGCAGGGATTACTGTAGAAAATGTGACGATATCGTTTAGTGGACAGTCTGGAATGAGATATAATCCATCGATTTCGGCGCTAGAACAAGAGGATATTGTTTCGTGGTTGAGTTTAAAGGAGCAGCCTGAGTTGGAGGCTAACAATATTTTTCGAATTCCGGATCAGAAGTTGGATTTGATTGAAGTCATGGAATCGAATTTGAATCAAAGGAAATTTTTAGTTGCGGCAGATACAGAGGATTGTCCTGAAGGTATTCAAAAAAAAACTTGCTAAATTATACTCATTTGAATCCTCTTGAATTGTTGATTCCAAAAACCCAAATTTCAAGCTTTTTTGGAATTTTTTGATTATGAAGGGAATTTCGTTTTTTTTTTCTCAAATCATAGTCAAATTTAGACTCATTCAAACTGTTTTGATTTTCTGGTTTCAAAAAAATAACTATCAAAAGTTTGCCTCAAAAACTGATCAAGCTACAGTACTATTTACAAGAGGGCGCCGCGCGCCGTCTAGCTTCTCTGCGCTCTCTCCCCCTTATTACGTTTTTGACCGTATCTCGGCTTAGAAGAGATCAACTTTGGCAAAAATTAAATTTTTGAAATAAACAAATTTAGACAATTTGAATGAATATAAATTTGAAATATTTTGAAAATTTTTGAAAATTTGGAAAATTGGATAACATTTTTTTGGAATTTTTCCAAAATTATCAAAAAACCCAAAAACTAGCCAAAATTTATACTCATTTTAATCCTCCTGCATTGCTGATTTCGAAAAACTAATTTTCAATCGTCTACCTCTTAAACTGACCAAGTTACAATATCATTTATAAGAGAGCGCCGCGCGCACTTTAGCTTCTCTGCGCTTTCTCACCTTTATTACGTTTTTGGCCGTATCTCGGCGCAGAGGTACTCAAATTCGATGAAACTTAATATTTTGGAATCAGCATAATCAGACGGTTTGAAGGAGTATAAATTCGATATATCTTGAAAAAATGTTCAATTTCGAAAAAATTTTTAAACTTTTTCAGAAAATATTTTTTCTAGATCCCCTCCAAGAATGTGTCTATAATCTAATGATACGATCAGTTGGTTATCAATACGGTCTAGCTTCAAAAATGACCATTCAAATTGTCAACCCTCCATCAAACATTTCTGATGAAGACGCAATTTTCACAGAGGTCTCGACAGGAAAATCATGGAGTGCTAGGAAAGATCAAATTTATGTAAGTTAGAGCGAATTTGCATGTTTTTTGAATTTCTTGAAAAATTAATTTTTTTGAACAAATGTTTAATTTCAGTTCCCGGTAGTCTCCACTGAAAATGCGATGCGAATGAGGTACACAAAATCGTATGGGAAACCGAAACTTGTGATTTTGGTCCTCTTTTTGGATAGTGAGTTTTTTTACTTTTGAAAAAACTTCGAAAAATTTTTTATTGAAAAATGTTTCCCAAAATCTTCAATTTCAAAAAAAAAACAAAAAAAATGACCACCCCAAGAAATCGAACTTTTGGCCTTCTGCTTCAAATCCATTCCTCTTAGCCACTGCGCCACGCGCACTCTGAGCTACCGCGGCGACCAGTGGACGCCTAAGCGCACGGGGGCGCAGTGGGTAAGAGGGGGGGGTTTACGAGCAAAGGTCCGAAGGTTCGATTCCTTGGGATGGCAATCTTTTTTTTTTGCTCGTTTTTTGTATTCTAAGATATTACAAAAGTTCGAAAAAACAATTGTTAAAAAAAAATTTTTTTTCGGATTTTAAAAAATCTGAACATTGTTTTAGAGCAGTGACTCAAAAGTTTAGTTTAAATCATTATTGATAAAGCTAAAATATGATATTTGAGAAAATAGCAGAAAAACATTTTTTATTTTAAAAAATTTTCAAAGAAAATTTTTTTTGGGTTTTTTCTCAAATTCTTAGAATAAAAAAAAGCAAAAAAAGTTTGCCACACCAAGGAATCGAACCTACGATCTTCTGCTCCAAATCCATCCCTTTTAGCCACTGCGCCACCGTGCGCTTTGGCGCCCCCTGGGCTCCGCCGTAGCTCAGAGCGCGCGTGAGGCGCAGTGGGTAAGAGGGGTGGCTATGGAGCAGAAGGCCGAAATTTCGATTCCATTGGGGTGGCAAACTTTTTTTTGTGCTTTTTTTATATTTCAAAATTTTGGGAAACAATTTCAAAAAATGCATTTTTCAAAGGAAATGTTTTTTGAAATGTTTTTTTTTTCCATTTTTGCCTCAAAAAGTATTTCAAAAAGAAAAAAAAAGTTTGCCACCTTAAGGAATCGAACTTATACCCGTCTGTTCCAAAAACATACCTCTTACCCACTGCGCCTTGCGCCCGCTTAGGCGCCCCCTGGGCGCCGCGGTAGCTCAAAGCGCGCGCGTGGCGCAGTGGGTAAGAGAGGTGGATATGGAGCAGAAGGCCATAGGTTCGATTCCTTTGAGTGGCAAATCTTTTTTTTTGTTGCTTTTTTTATATTTCAAAATTTTGGGAAAACTTTTTTTTTAATTAGAAAAAAATCAAAAAAAAATTTTTTTGAAAAATTTCGAATTTCTCACATTTCCAGCCCAAGAATACGTTGACCGCTTCATCCACCTCTATCAATCTCGTGTTGAAGACAATCAATACGGATTCTCAGCAGTTCACTACTCGAATTTGACATTTTCGGATGGACGTCTCTCAAATCGTTGGAATAATGAAAAAATCTGGTTGCAAAAAGTGAATTTCACCAGAAACCATGAAGCAGTCGTTTGGTTACACTCTCCACAGCATTCTGTGGTTCCTGGGACCCCGATTGCTGAAATTACTTATCACTTTGATAATTGTAGTGTTGTTGATAACACTGGACCAATTATTGAGTCCCATAGAGATTTGTATGCTTCGGCAAATGTGTTTCATTGGATTTTATGGTCCAATACTTTTGCGAATAATACAAGAAGTGGAATTGCGGTCGCTCTACCGGATACCTATGATTTGCTGGCTAAACAGACGCATAGTTTTTGGGTTAGTTTTGAATTTTTCAATTTTTCGAAATTTTGAATTTTTGAATTTTTGAATTTTCGAATTTTTGAATTTTTGAATTTTTGAATTTTTGAATTTTTGAATTTTTGAATTTTTGAATTTTTGAATTTTTGAATTTTTGAATTTTTGAATTTTTGAATTTTTGAATTTTCGAATTTTCGATGTTTTGAATTTTTGAATTTTTGAATTTTTGAATTTTTGAATTTTTGAATTTTTGGATTTTTGAATTTTTGAATTTTCGAATTTTTGAATTTTTAAATTTTTGAATTTTTGAATTTTTGAATTTTTGAATTTTTGAATTTTTGAATTTTTGAATTTTTGAATTTTTGAATTTTTGAATTTTTGAATTTTTGAATTTTCCAATTTTTTGGAACTCTCAATTTCCAGAAAAGCTAAAATTTTTGGAGTTCCCTGTAATTTTCCAATTTCAATTTTTTTGAAAATTTTGCTTCCAGCTAACCGAGAACCGCTTCGAAAGGAACGACGACTTCCGAATTCTTCTAGATGGCTACTACGCATTCGCCAACATTTCCTCCAACAATTTCACCCAAAACCTGGCCCCATATAATTTTGGAATGCTAGAACTCCGAGGAATGGAAAAGAAACTAGTCTGCGAAAGAAATCGATTCTTCTTCAATTGGGGTCACTGGATGATCAAAATCGATGCCACCTCCCAATACCTAAGACAAATTGATGTTCCAAGCTATGTCCGTTACAACTACATTGAGAAAAATAAGTTTATTCGACAAAGAGCCGACTATGTGGACATGTGGCCGAGGTCCTATGCATTAGGAGTGTTTGGTGCTCAAAAAATCGAAGTTCATTTCAATAGATTCTTCAATGAGCTGATGGATTTCGAGCTTGTATCTGGAACTAAAGCGAGTTTAAGCTAACAATTAAGAAAATCAAAAAAGAATTGCATCGACCGGGAATCGAACCCGGGCCGCCCGCGTGGCAGGCGAGCATTCTACCACTGAACCACCGATGCCACGAGACATGAGGGGCGACGACTAGTATAAGAATGGGGGAGGTGTTAAGAGCGGAGAGAGAGGGAGCGAGAGAAAGAGAGGGAAAAGGGGAGTGTGTGTAATAGAAGGGGAAGTCTTCCCCGGGAAGATTATAGGAAATATTTCGAAAATCCGGAAAGGAAATCTAGGAATAGCTGGAAATAGGTGAAAATTGAAGAGGTTATTTTAAAAATTAGGCAAATTCAGAAGACGAAATTTCAGATGAAAATCTAGAAAATCTAGTTTTTGAAACTAAAAAAGTTTATATACTATAACTTTCTAGATTTCATTTTAAATTATAAGTTATCATTATATTTTAAAAAGGCTATTAATCAGCTTCAAAATGAGCATAAACATGCCTACTTTTGATAAGATTTGAAATTTTTGAAGAAATAAAAACTTCCAAAATTTTACTTTTTCCGAAAAAAAAGTCAAATTTATACTTATTCAAATTGTCTCAACATGCTTAATGTGAAAATGTAATTTTTATTGATTTGTCTCTGAAATTGACCTAGTTACAGTAGTTCGAAAGAAAGGGCGCCGCGCGCCGCGCACACTCTAGCTTCTCTGTGCTCTCTCACCCATTATACGTTTTTGACTATATCTCGGCGAATAATGGCTTAAATTTGATGAAAAACAGATTTTTGAAATTGGGAGGATTTGCTGCTTCTAATGAAAATAAACACGGCTATTTTTATTGAATTTCGTTTTATACTGAAATTTCAAAATTCTTCAATTTTGTTTCTGATGATAGCCATATTTACACTCATTCAACCCGTTTTTACATTCTGAACTCGAAAATGTTATTTTCATTGATTAGTCGTCAAAACCTACCTAGTTACAGTCTCCTTTACAAGAGGGCGCGGCGCGCCGTATAGCTTCTCTGCGCTCTCCCACCCAACCACGTTTTTGACGGTATCTTGGCGCAGAAGTGCTCAAATTTAATGAGCATTACATTTTTGAAATCAGCAAAGCAAGACGGTTTAAATGAGTATAAACATCAATAGTTTTAAAATGTTTTGAAAAATTCGAAAACTTTCAGATTTTGACCGGCTTTTCTTGGCCTAAAGCTAAAAGTTCAATTTTCAGTACACAGACATTTACGACACCATGAATGCCACCTACAATTGGTGGGGTACTGGCAACGAAGCTGTCATATCCCAACGAGTTTTTGATTTCGATGACTGGAACACTTACACACGAGCCATATGGTCCCCATTCTATGTCTCCAACGATTTATCGATTAATTTCTGGTGGAATCCTCATCGAGATGGACAACTGGCAAATGCAACGTATTTGGAGCCTAGTATTCATGATTTACATGGACGAGTTTATGAGGATAAGAATTTAACATTGATTACGGAGAGATGGTACGAATTCCCGCATTATTACCGCCCGTTCCGTCCCTACCGTATTACTCGTGACGTCACTATTATGCCTGGAGCCACGCTGTATATTCAAGAAAATGTTGAGGTTCATATTTGGCCAAATGTTAGGATTCTGGTGTTGGGAAATCTAGTGGCGAAGGGGTCGTATTGGCAGCCTATACGGTAAGTGGGGTTTGAAGGATTTTAAGATTTTTAAGCTCAGCTCATTTTTCCGATTAAATTGACTATAAATATGACCTATTTTCAAAAATTTGAAAATTTGAAAAAAACTTCAAAACTAGTCATGTTTATACTCATTCGAACCGTCTTCTCCTGCAAATTCCAAAAATATAGTTTTTATCAAATTAAGCACCAATGAGCTGAGATATAGCCATTTAAGTGAAGTAGGCGAGAGAGCGCAGACAGTTAGAGTGTCTCGCTTTTCTGCGCCCTCTTCCCTTGTACTGGAATATGGCGCGTAACTTTGTTATTTTGGGTTCAAACTTTGTGAAAATTAAATTTTCAAAATCTGCAAATCAAGGCGGTTTCAATGAGTATAAATATGACAAATTTTAAAATTTTATGAATTTCCGGAAATTTCGAAAAATCAAATATTTTCAAAATCGTGCATGTTTATACTCGATTGAATCCTCGAAACTTGCTGATTCCAAAAATTATATTTTCATCAAAATTGAATCACTTTGAGGCAAGTTATAGAGCAATACGTGAAGCGAGAGTGAGAGAGCGCAGAGAAGCGAGGCTACTCGAACTGTCTGCGCTCTCTAACCACAGCGAAGAAAACCCGCTGTAACTCTGCTTGTTTTTGTCCAAATTTTATGAAAACTACTTTTTTGGAATGTGCAAGTTAAGCCGGTTCGAATGAGTATAAACATGCCTAGTTTTGGAAAATTTTGAATTTTTTGAAAATTTCGAAAAGTCAAAAAATTCAAAATTTTGGCATGCTCATTCAAATCCTACATTTTTGCTGATGCCAAAAATCATCGTTCCATCGTACTTAGACAATTCTGAGCAACGTTACATGAGGTTTTGTAAATTTAAAAAAACACCTAAAATCTCGAAAGTGATCCATATTTCAGTCACTTGATTGGGTAAATGAGGTAAAATTTAAATTTAAAGTGATCATTAAAAATTTATTAGTTCAAAAAAATCAATTCAAATTTCCAGATTCAAACCAATCAACACCACTGAATACGCCGAGATTAAAGGGCGAATTCCGTCAGAGTACAGGAAGAAAAGGGGCGTGGTTTTGGAGGAAAAAAAGCCTGAAAAGCCTAATGGACATCATATAGAGAAAAGGCCGGGAGTAGACCAGTCTGAAGCCCCTAAAAGCCGCCCCAACCGCTCCGACCGGGCCGAACACGCTGGTCGGCCACGACGAGCTTCCGACCGCTCCAAGCCCGACTTGGTCTACCGAGACTTCCCCACCCTCCACCGCGATGATCCCTACTACCAACGCTTTACAGTATCCCTAACAGCAAACGGTTCGGATTACGGTAGAAGTGGTTTCCTACAAATTTACAACGCAACTACTGGAGAAATCGTTCCATCCTGTGATCGACAATTCACGATAAGAAATGCTCAAGTTGTTTGTAGAGAATTGGGGATGGCCACCCAAAATGTGTACCATTGGCTGACCCCTCGATGGGATTATAATCCTCAAATTCAAATTCTAAAGACATATATGGAACCCAGAGAGTGTCGAGGCGATGAGCCAAGTCTGGATAGATGTAACTTGAGGTTATCTGGGAGGGATGAGCAATGGATGTGCATGGATTCGGAGCATTTCAATTATATCTACTGTGGAACGAATAGGAGCTTGTCAAAGGAGTATATTGGAAATTGGGGAGGTATTACGTTTGCCCAGCCGACGCTGGAGCATGAATATGGGGAGCGGAGAGGGTCCAGGAAGGAGAAGTCGATTTTGCAAAATGTGGAGATTGTGGGAGGAGGCGCGGGGCATAATGATTCGTGGCAGAGTGCAGGTATCTTGGTTTTGCTTGATGATTTGAATTCAGCTTGTTTTTAAGATCAACATGAGTATAAATGTGCCTAAACTTAAAAAATGTAATAATTAATTTTTAAATTTCTTTCGAAATATCAGAAAATTTCAAACTATGGTCATGTTTATACTCATTCGAACCGTCTTGACTTGCGGATTCCAAAAATCTTGTTTGTATGAATTTTGGATGAAAACCACCAAAGTTACAACAAATTATTTCAGTTATAGTGAGAAACGCAGACAGCTAGAGTGTCTCGTTTCTCTGAGCTCTCTCACTCTCGCTTCACGTTTTGCTGTGTAACTTGGCTCAGAATTGTCCGATTTTGATGACAATTTGATTTTTGGAATCAGCAAAACAGGATGGTTCGAATGAGTATAAACATGACAAATTTTCGAAATTTCGCATTTTTTCGAAAAATTGTTTTTTCAATTTCAAACTTTTCAAACCCGGCCATGGATATACTCATTCGAATTTTCTTGACTTCCACATTCCAAAAATATAGTTTTCTTAAATTTTGGACACCAACGAACAGAGTTGCAACGAATTTTTCCAGTTATATTGAGAGAGCGCAGGCAGTTAGAGTAGCCTCGGTTCTCTGAGCTCTCCCACTCTCGTTTTACGTTTTGCTTTGTAACTTGGCTCAGAGTTTTCCAATTTTGATGAAAATTATATTTTTAAAATCAGCAATACTTTGCGGTTCGAAGGAGTATAAACATGACATAATTTTGAAATTTTTGATTTTTTGAAATTTTCAAAAATATCAAATTTGGGCTCATTTCAATTTTCTCGACTTCCTTAACATGGTTTAATTTTTTTCCAGGACTCCAAATCTTCCATCGCTCCCCTATTCTGGACCACGTGAATGTGACCAATTGCTCAGTCCATGGAGTCCAGATAGTGTCCCCAAATGATCATATAACTCTGGCAAATTTGAATGTGACATTTAATCAAGGAAAAGGTGTCAATATAATTACGACATTTGTCCAAGCGCCCAGCACATCGCAAGATACAATGAGACAGCCGATGAGTATATCGTACTACAGTCAGGGAATGTTGGATATGTGTGCAGCTGTCAAACGGTTTGAGGTCAAGAATCGGATTATGGTGAGTCGAAATTTGGAATTTTGGCGTCAAACCGATCAAAATTAATATAAACATGACTAGATTTTGAGATATTTGAAAATTTCAAAAAATTCCAAAATTTTTGAAAAATTAAAAATCCCACCAAACTAGTCATGTTTATATTCATTCGAACCAGTTTATTTTGCTCTTTCCGAAAATATAATTTTTATTAAATTTGAGCCACTGTGAGCCTAGAAAAAGTCAATTATGTAAATTTGGTGAGAGAGCGCAGAGAAGCTAGACGGCGCGCGGCGCCCTTTCTTTAGAGTACTGTAACTAGGCCAGTTTTTGAGATGGACTTTTGAGAACTAGTTTTTCAATTTCAGCAAGTGAAGACGATCAAAATGATTATGAATTTTACTAGTTTTTTGAAATTTT